AGACATTTTGTATTTCATGTTATTAATTTATAATTTTCAAATTCCATTTCTATTTTGAAATTCTAAGCTCTTTTCTTCATTTGCATAACTGTGTACTCAATTCAACAAACTAATTTCCTTTCAATTAGTTTTCAATAGGTGCTAATAGTATATTTTTCTATGCAATCAAATGCAAAAGCTTTTTTTATTTGTGGGGCTCACATAATTGATTTGTGTTTTGTTGGTGTGGGTCTTGCATGTGTCCCCTATATATTTGCTAATGAGTACCATTTTGATTGATGAAAAAATGATTGAAAATGAAATTTATAAAATTTATTCTTACTTTTGCTACAATAAGAATTTTTATTTTTGAAAAAAAAAAGTTTGATTTGTAACAATATTTTATCATTCTGGTCATTTCTACCCATTTTTGTCTATTTAGAACTTTATTATTAAAAAGAATGAACAAGAATAAAAACTCTACACACGCAGCTGAATAACCAAGTATTATAATTGACTCCATAACTACTGAACAGCTAGGGGTGGATTTGAGTGGAACTAAACTGAATATTTGGCTATTCAAGCTTGACTCGTAGAAATACTGTTAGGTTTGAGTTCAAGCTCGATTTGAGCTAGAGATTTAAGCTAGAGCTTGGCTCGATTCAAAATTATTTATTATATATTGTTATGTATATAATAAAAATTATTTATTTATTATACTAGACTCAATTGGCCTCGTGAGTTTCATGAGTCGAGTTTTTATTAAACTCGAACTTGACTTAATTAACAAACGAGCCTATATATCGGACTCAAACTTCGCTCGAAGCTTGATTTAAATCAAGCCAAACCAAGCTGAAATAGCTCGTGGCAACTACTATAAACAGCTATTGTGTTTAGCTAGTAAGTGTAAAACTGTAAAGGGCGACAATAAAAATAAAAAATAAAAAATAATAATAATAATAATTCTAGAGTTTTAGCATATGAGAGAGACAAACTCAGGTTATTAATGATGGCAATTACGTTATTTTGGGTGTTGGAGAAGAATGATTTTATATAATAACAACGAATTGGAATATGCTCCTCACACAGGGCGCCTCACAATGACCTCGGTGACACATCCCACGGGAGATGTTCCCAATGCACGGTAGGATATACGTGTGAGGTCGGTGGGAAGCGCCATGAATGAGGAGCAGATCCGATCTAACCAACAACACGTAAAAGTTGAAAGTTGAAACTTAATACTCCCTCCCTAAACCGGAAAATCCGAGGACAACCCAAGAAAGAAAATAAAGCAGATGGGGTTTTCTTCAGCCAGTGACCAGGGACCAGGGATCAGAGTTGAGAGACCATTTCCTCCTTGGTCTCCATCTCTCCCTCGCCCCACCCCCGCGTGCTTTCAAGGCCCTCTTCTCTTTGCGAGGAAGGCTCAGCTCTTTCTTTACTTGCCGGCGTGGGGGCGGGCGGCACGTTACGAGTAGCGCTACGTGTCTCAATTTCACCGGTTTGACTACCTATTTTCCCAAATTTCAAAATTCTACGTTACGTCATTCTCCATCGTTACGTAACGCTCTGCCTCTGCCTCTGCCTCTGCCTCTGCTCCATCACCTTTCACTCACCGCCCCATCATCCCAGCCCAATTCCTTTGAGCAGGAATTTCGCGACTCCCTTAGTCCCTTTCGAATTTCGATGATGAGTTGACGCAGTAAAGGAATTTGGAATTTGGTCCGACAGGTTTCATTAATGGAACCCTCCGACTCCGAGACCAACAGGCAGCAGAATTGAGAGAAGCCAGGCACACGTCTTTTACTTACAAATTCAAACAACCTTTCCAATGGCTATATTTAAGGGTATTAAAATCTGTGGAATGTTTTGTGGGATTCTTCAGTCTTCACAATCACAAACCATAACACCTTTTCTTTTTTCTTTTATTCCTTTTGTTCTTCCTTTCTGTTTCCAAATCTCATTAGTTTTATTTTATCACTTTCTTGTGCGTAACTTAGACTTCAACATGAACATGCTTGAGTGCGTATGCATTCAAATCAAAACCTTAAACCTGTTACTGTTTCCTGGTGCATCCTACTAATAATCACTTTTAGTTTTAGACTCCCAGCATTTATTAATGCAAGTTTTCTTTGCTGAATTTCTATGTCTATACAAGCAAGTCGGTCACATTATTTACTATGCTAGTAGAGTCCAATCAGGTTCGGGTTGCACATGTCGAAGTATATTTGGATCTGATCCAAGTGCATAACCTGCAAATTACGTACGTGCCTTATTAGTTGGTTTAGCTGCTGTACACATGATGAAATTCGTCTGATTCAACCTCAACCTGGCTTGGTTTGGTTTGATGGGATATGATGGCATTGGCATGGCAGTCTTTTGGAGCCAAGGGCCCAACCCAAGGCGCCCAAGAGGCATTGGGGAAGGCCCTTCCTCGTCAAGTTTCGCCCGATCTCAAACTTTGGACTTGGGCGAGGCCTGGCTCTGAACTAAGCCCAAGGAATCTAGTCCAAACTCAAATTTAGGCCTCAGGATGGGCTCCTACTGACTTGACTTTAGTCTTTAGACCAAAATCTATTGATATAATATCTATAAAAAAAGGACTGAAATTAGTTATAATTTGTTTCTCGACCCAAAATCATTTTGGGCCGGGCATTAGGCCCTCGGGCCTGACTCAATCTGATGTAGACATTGATTGCGTTTTAAATTAGGCCTAGGCCCGACCCTAATTCTTTTAAGGCAGGTAGGGACAGCCCGGACCCACGTCCAACCCTCTACCAGACCGAAACTAAGACATATAATATTAAATTAGTACAGAGTGCACAACATACCATATCAAAGAGTGTACGGAAAAAATATGTGGTTGGATTAGTATTGCAGGTATTACTCTTGCGTGAAGACTAAAAGAGTTGAGAGTCCGAGGATGCATACTTTTTAGATGTTTTCTAACTTAATCAAATTATTAGTAAGGTCATTTATTAACACATCCCCTATATTTTTATGGATTTATTAAAACTTCCCCTATAATTTATGTTTTATTAAAATACTCCTTATTTAATCAATTTTTCATTACATAACATTACAAAATGACAGTTTTGATCTTAATGTCCATTTGATTAAATTTAATAAAAAATAAAAAGAAAATATCATTTCGCCCCTAGTAAAACATGAACAGCCACTCTATTTGGATCTATTTGGTCTTTTTTTTTTGTATGAAGAAGTGTTAGAAGTACTTTTGGAATAAACAATGATGTGCCCATGTCCTTGAACATTTTTCACCCAATTTAGGTGATGATATTATTATTTTCAGATGGCAAATTAAACACTTTTTCATGAAAGATCAATTAAATAAATTGATTACAAACTATAGAGGTGCTTTAGTAAAATAAAAATTATAAGATAGGTTTAAATAAATCCATGAAACTATAAGGGGGTGTTCTAGTAAATTCTCCTAACCCTAAAATAAATCATGATGGTAATACTAATAAGGATAGAATCCCCCTCTATAGTTTTATAGATTTACTTAAACCTACTCTATAATTGGTGGTATACTAAAACACCCCCTATAATTTACAACCTATTTACTTAATTGACTTTTCACGAATAAGTGTTTGTTTTGTCATCTTAAAATAGTAACATTATAACCTAAATTGAGTGAAAAAATGTTCAAGAGAACGGTTTATGGTTGTTTATTCCACAAACACCCGTAATACTTCTTATATGGGGCAAAAATGATATTTTGATTTTTATTTTCTTTTTTATTAAATTTATTCAAATGGACATTAAGGTTAAAGTTATCGTTTTTCACTAAATATCGATTATTACAAATGTTTTTAATAAAAGATTGGAGGTGTTTTAAATGACCCTTTTATTAAATTCAAGCGTATGGGGCGTCGGTTGACATGGTGTTTATTTTTCGCATGCTGATTGCTAAGTGCACCAACACCATACTTCGACGTCAGCCTGAATAAAAAATTCAAACATTCAAGACTTAATACAATTTTGGTTGGACGTAATCATGAGTTAAACCTCAAGCAGACTTTCGTTGATGTCTGCACTCTCTGCGACGCGCTGCGATGCCTTGCCTACTACCATTGCCTCTTTTCTTGTTCCTTGTCTCAGCACGTATTCTTTTTTTCTGGACAAAAAGAAAAAGAAAGAAAGAAAGAAACGCACACAAGGTCAATTTGCTGGATCCAAAGTCGTTTGCTCTATCAAACAGAGGGCCAACCTTGGACCTACCATGTGTTGCAATTTGATTAGGCACAAGGCCCAACTCAGCGTGATTGAAATTCAGGCCCAGCCATCCATATTTAGCCTAAAACCCAACACTTATACCCCTATCCATTTTCACCAAATTTCAGGTTCCAAATAGGGATGGCAATTTCCTCCGTAAAACCGGGGTTCCACCCCGCCCGAACGGGGTGGGTTTTCCCCGACCTTAAACAAAGACGGGACGAAGACGGGGAAAATAATTTTTCCCCGAACAGGGTATGAGGCGGGAACGGGTTTTCTATATAATTCCCCAAACCCAAAAGTAAATTAGTAAAATATTTCTAAGTTTAATATTGATATTTAAAATATCTCTAAGTTTTCCCTAAATTTTTAAAATCCTAGGATCCCATAATTTAATTTTTGAATTACCTCTAAAGTATTATAAATTCAGTTCTAAAATACCCCCAAATTCCTATATCCTATATACTAATTGTCCATAAACTAGATAATTTTTAAGTGAAGCGAGGAAAATTCGAAGATTCCCCGTCCCCAGTGGGGAATGGATGCCAGTGGTGGGGCGGGTACGGGGCAAGGTATCGTGACTTCAGGGCAGGGACAGGGAGGGAGTGCCCCACCCCAAACCCGCCCCGTTGTCATTCCTAGTTCCAAATGTTATGTTGGTAGCCAAAAAGCATGCAATTATTTGTAACTTCTTTTTTCTTTTTGCAAGCATGTGTCAAAAACAAAACAAGAATTACCAATATGGTCTGAATTTAGATACTGCACCTTTTCCAAACTAGATTGCATTCAAGCAAGATGGCCAATTATCATTCCATAAGTACATTTCATCACAGTACTAACATTCTTTCCTATTCTTTAGACAATTTTCTTTTCTTTCCTTTCTCGTGTATTATGAACTATATAAAGAACAACCTATTGTAATGTAGAAAATTTAATTGTTCACTTGATCAATCAGATTTCAAATACAAGTGGTTTTGATAGGCCATGTTAGCTTTCCACATGGCAAAAAGGAACCCGTATTAGGGAGCCAAAGCTGTAGTGTCTAAGAGTGATGATTTGATGAGAACGCTCCCATTAACCTTTTAGAACCCCTACTGTGGTATCATTCATTGGCTTGAAATCGAGACACCAAATAAGGTCTCAACTTAATATGTTTTTTTAGACAATGGATGAACATGGTAGGGTTGAGAGTGTTCTCATCTGATCACCACTGAATATTCTAAACAGAATACCCTGTCAGTGCCTATGTAAGAAAATAATGAAGCTAGAATGGCATAAAGCACCAGTATTTCTTCTTCAGCTTTGACATCCTACTAACAGCCTTCCCTTTGCCTCTAGATGCTGCTGGAAGGCCACTGGATGATGCCACCCCATTTTCTAAGGTGGATGAAAGGCCTTCAACAGTATCCCCTAACTTGGGCAGACAACGCTCATGTTTTGATGACTCACTATTGAGAAACTTCTGCTCAACTGATGAACCTGGAAGTGAAGGGTCTGAGATAAGCATTGGTCTTCTGGACAGGTTACTTCTGTCGCACCCATGAAGAGAACCTGTTGAGGAAGAAGATGGAATTAGTACACATCTGAAAATTTTATCCCTCTAATGTTTATAATATTTAAACAAAACAGAAGAAAACAACAGTTATTAGTCACTAGCTCATGAACCAAACCACCCAATATACAAGAGCAAAGGGGGGAGAGGGGGATCTCACGCGACAGTTACATACAGCAGGTACTAGTGTCAAAATCTATGGGAATAATCATTCCCTCTCTCATATAAAAGCAAGAAGCCTTATTACCCTAGGCATACTGGGATGGTTATCAATATGCAATGCAAGAAAATAATATCTTTAAAAACTGAAATGGAAAAAAGCATTTTTTAAAAAACTTACAAAGCTTGCGAAATACGGGAAGCAGTTGCACAGCATACAATGAACACTCAGAAGAAAAATAGGAAGAGATTACAAAACACACAAAGAAGAAGAATCTCACACAAGACATTCAAAGAAGAACTTAGAAGCACACACTTAAATCAGTCCTTCAGGCACTACCCGAAGCACACCTTACAAATGAGATCCAAGCCTTATTTATAGACAGGAAGGGCTTGATTCTAGAGAAATCTATCATCTATTTTTTCAGGTTCGATCTTATCTTCGGCCTCTATAACTGAGATGCCTTCTTATCTTTAATGTCTGTCAATCTGGAGATGATTCTTTATCTTCGGCTTTATCCTGACAAAATGATAGCAAACCTATACTGTTGAAGAAAGTGGTGAATTTATCAACAGTAAATTTGCATTATCGAGCCTTAGTGTCTAAGTCCTTTGTGATTCATTTGCTTTTTTCCTTTCACTTTCTTGGCAAATCGAAGAGAGATTTACTCTAGCTCAATAAAGTCAGGATCCAGAAACTTGGTCCGGAGCTTTTCTTGATAGGACTCAAAAATGGCTTGGAATACCTCGTCCTCTTGAACTAGTTTTACAGTGGTAGTTAGATCAAATTTATCCCACCACTTAATTTCTATAGATCTTTCAAGTGCAGGAGCCAGGAGGCATCCACGACATGTCTCGATGATATTTCCATCGTAGGATCCATGGAAGGCGATAGGTCTTGAAAAACTCGAACTAGTTAACATGTTCATGCTCCAGATAGATCCTTCCTTGGCCAAATTTTGTATATTTATCAAATAATTCTTTTTTGGGAAATATATCATCGGATGCTCCCCAAGTCGTCCACCAGACATAAACCCAGTCTAGATATGGGCCTTGAAATTCTTCTGAGAATCTGATGAACCAAGAATGTCAGAACACTGTGTTCTGAATTAAGAACACTTTTGTACCATGCATCTTGATAATCCCAATAGTTGAATGCTATGGGTCTTCGATTGATTGGCCTGGTGATAAATTTAGGCCTGTTGTCTCCCCATGACTCTTTAGTCATGAATTTAACAACTACTAGTTTTGAATAAGCTATATTTGTTTTACCCGAATCCCTATAATAATGTTGGATTCTGGCAGATCCTGTGTGAATAAGGATCTCTTCATAATATTTTTGGTCTTTATTCAGACCACAGACTGTGAAATGATGTCCCTCTAAATATTCAGAGACAAGTCCGTTAATTGCTCCATCGACAACTATGGAGGTTAAGACCATTGATGCCTCCACTTGACTTATTATTAGTACAAAGTCAGAGGAATTGGTCTTGTATTGGCTAATATCAGCCTCATCAATTATTGAAGATTGATCCCTATTTAAGGGAGAATCAGATCTGTCGGACTGACTAGTCCTGTGAGAAATAGGGCTGGACTGATAAGTCCTATTATGTGGCCTCTGATTAGGGCTTGGAGGAAGATCTCTGCTGCAGTTTGCCATCTTTACTTAGATGTCCTTGGAGAAATTCTCTAGTTAAGAGATCAAACAAAGCATTATCAACACCTTTAATATATTTTATTTCAAAATAAAAAATTGATAAAATTGCTTGCCATTAGCCAAAAATCTGCTTTGAAACAAGATTTTTTACATCTTTTTCTAAAATCTCTTTGGAATATTTACAATCAATCTGTAAGGTAAAATGCTGATTTATTAAATCTCCTTGAAATTTTGTAATGCATAAAACAATGCTCAACATTTCCTTTTTGACAGTGAAATATTTTTGTTGGGTTTCATATTTCTAACATAATCTGTGACACCTTCACCCATAGCTTTTTATATTAAACAACAATAGAAACCAAATTCCAGTAACAAGTTTTGTTTTGTTTTGTTTTTTCCTTATCTTTGGTGGTGGTGGTTTTCTTTTTTTTTTTTTTTCTTCTAACCAATAGCATAAAGCAAGCAATAGTAATATTTTTTCCTCCTTTCTTTTATTTTATTTTCTATGGGCTGATGGAAAGTTCAATGATGATGTATGGGGAGAGGCTAGGCGGTTTGGAAAAAAACAAATTGGGCTGTTTTGAAGCTTCATGTGCATGACAAGTTAAGCATCAGTGTTGGGTAAAACCGTAAAAGAGTAATTGCAATCAATATTCTTTTAATTAAAAGGACAAATAAAGAACTAAATTGGGTAATGTGCCATGTATAGGAAGCTTCAAAACAGCCCAATCTGTTTTTTCCAAACCGCCAAGCTTTTCTCATGATGTATGTTAGTTACAGAATGAAACAACCAACAGCAATTGTGATAGTTATGGGATTGAGCAGTAACCATCAACAAATGGTCCAACTACCTAGAATTCTCAGGTAAAAGTGAAGCCAACAAAATGATACTTCATCATCTAGAAAAATAGTTATGATCGTTTTGACTGATCAATCATGAATCCCTTCCCCAACTGTACATGTACATGTGCAGTATCATGGTCTAAAAATACTAGAGAATGTAATATTCTCAATGCACAAAGTATGAAGTCAGAATATATCACAATTCCCCAACTGAAAAGATAACAACCAATAAGATATATGGGGAAAAATTGCATAACATGAAGATTGTAAACAGTAGTATCTGCAAATATTCATTGTAAGGGGGACTTTCATGGTGCAGCCAACACAAAGCACATATATGGAATTCCTCAAAGAAGGAAAATCTACAAGCCTAATATCTGAAAACATTGTGCAACTGGGCAGGATGAGGCCATGAAAATTTGGGTCCCACATAACTCAGATGATCACCATTAAAGGGTGGGGATGGGAGCTAAAATGAACAAAAAGTATGTGGGGTCAATATTACCACTATCCTATGAAAGCATATAGTTGACTGCAAAGTATATGCGGTCAATATTACCACTATCTTATAATAGCATATAGGGTACCGCCCACATCCCCCGGGTGCTTCCCCTTTTGATACTGTGATATTTATTAAATAACCACTAGTAATCCTTCTAGCAATGTGTTTAATGAAATCACATCAACATGGAATAGGTCCCCTCAGAAGGTCCCATCAAGTTGTGGCTCCCAACCTGCAAGTGCTTCCATCTCTATTGTTGACAGACCACAACTAGGGCTGCCAGAAAGATAGCAATTAAGATTTCTGTTGTCAATGGACCATAATCATAGCTTATGGGAACTGAGTTTCCAAAAGTTCAAAAGAAATATATACATGCACAACACAGATAAAAATGCAAAATGAGCCAACCTATTTTAGTTCGAATAAGGTTTTCTTGAGTTGAATTGAGTACCAGAAATACAACCATATAACGAATATAGTGGACATACCTGAAGAGGAGGACCTGACAACTATTTTATTGGATCCAACAGACTTGAAGACATTAAGCTTGCAATTTGGATTTTTCTGTTGAATGCCTTGATTATTACAAGCATCAAGGTCTTGTAACAGGGCCCATGAGTCGAAGTACTCATCCGAGGACATTGTTAGGCAACTAGAATTTTCTGAACTGGAAGAAGGAGATTCTGGATCAACAAGATCTAGCAATTCCAAGTAGTCCCCCTTGGAGAAATCATAGATCTCATGCTGTCCTTGAATGGGATCTTCAGGACCATTGTCTGGCAGATGACTGTCAAACACTCGCAATGGCCTATTCTCATTAACTCGACCTGTCACCTACATGTGCATCAACAGTCTGAACTTATATAAAATAAAGAAAGTATAACATAAAACAAATGCATGTCATAACTAGTCCATATGTTGAATAAAGGCCACTGGAAAAAATACTACAAAAAATACAATAAAATAAAATATTTCACTATAAAGCTCAATCCCAAACATGTTTTACTTGTTAAGGCAATGTAATAGACAAATGTTTATGAATATGAGCAGAAGGATTAAGTATTGACACTGTTAAAATGCCTAAATAATAGAATTCACCTACCTGGGACCTGTTTGGTTGATCTTGACGATTATTGTTGTTTTGTTCAGCATCTTGCATGATTGGTGATGCTAAATGAGTGTGATGTCTACTGGAATTATCCATACCAGCATGGTTACGTTGCAATTCATGTTTTGGATTGTGACTGTGATTTAAGAAGACTCTACACAGTGAATTGAAACCCTGAAATTTGTGCAACCAAACTGGCAATTGAATAGCAAGTTGGGCTGATAATTTAAATAAAGAAGAACATCAACTGAGAACCAGAAAGTATTATTTTATCCAAGAAAATACCTGTCCACTGCTGCCTTCTTTCTGATTCATCCTGTATTCATGCATCATCCAATTAGTTTTAATCCCATTTGGGGCCTCTCCTGTGTAGAATTCCAGAGTAGTTTTCCAACCGGTATTAGGAGAATTTTTAAGTACCATATGGTCCTCTCCTGTAGCCTGCCAATATCCAGTTGTTTTAGGATCCTCTCCTGTAGCCTTCCAATATCCAGTTTCAGTTGTTTTAGGGCCATCCGAATGGAAGAAATACCACATATTTTCTGCATCCAACAGGTTTTGGCACATAAATGCTGTATTCAAAAGGCAGTAAGAAACATAATTAACTGCCCCCTCTTCCCACTTGAACATATGATTGTGCCAAAGAGAAACCTAAAATGGTTGGTGACTGCACCTCATACAGTCATACCATAAATAGTAACAAGTATAACCGCCCTAAATCACATTATCTCATGTAGGCGGGTTCGGCAATACAAATACTGTCACCCATTCCACAAGCAGTATCTCAAATTAAACAATATGGTCACTTTGCAAAATTTTTATCTTTATTGGAATTCTTATAACAGTCATGCACCTGTAGAAGATGGATAAAAATATTTATATATATAATAAAAAATATTTTACCATTTATGACCGATTTCTTGTTTTAGTTAATGAGATTTTGCAAGGTGGGAGTAACACATAATACAAAAGGAAGAGAGAATTAAGACTAAAAGCAGAGAACTGAAATTCTTTTTTAAGTTGATTGAATAACGCATGGCCTAAACCTGAAAAAAAAAGTCATGTTTCTAGGCCTGTACAGCTCTTACTGGCCTCTGAACGGGTTCCCTGGCCTATCATGTTTAAACAAGCCCAATATTTTGGGCTTTGACCACCTGTCCAGCAAGATTTCCTACATTTAACAAGGATATCCTCACAAAAGATTCTATGGATCGACTTGTTGAGTTTTTTGTCATTGTCTAGAGATTTGTCTTCTTGTCAAGTTAGAAGATCCTACAAAATTCTTAGAAATCTTAGGTGAGCACCAGAAGATCCTAGAAAATATTTTGTTTGTAGTGTTTGTCATAGATCCATGGATATTATGCCTTTCCCAACCAATGAAGGGCAAGTTCAAAGATAAAACTTAATTATCTTAAAAATAAATATAAATTAGAGAAAAAAACATGTTTTGCTTTGGATGAATACTAGAGAAAAAGACATGTTGATGACAATAAATGTGTACGGATTATAAATGATGCTAAAAGATCTAAGCCAATAGATTACCAAAGATTGAAATATGATACTCTGTGTTCAATAAGGCCTCGTCAAGGAACAGAATTGATACTTACCAGGCGAATTCCAGGGCAAAACATCGCAAGGGTTGACATCTGTAATAATGTTGGCTGGAGTAGGAGCCCCATTTTCCATTCTTTCCATGGACGCTAGAAGCTCTTCATCAGTCAAATGGAAACCAAACTCAGGAGGGACATGTCCAAAAGGACACATTCTTAATCGAGTCAAAAAGAGTGAATTAGGGTCAGAAACCTGTATGTGACCAGTTGATTGCTGGAGTGTCAGAAATAACAAGTAGGTAGAAATAAACCAAAGTATTCAAGCATCATACCACAGTTATTGAACAAACTGACAAGGAATTAAAGCATAAATGACCAAGAAAACCTGAGCAAAAACAAGGAAACGAAAAATATAAAACTAAAATGGGAAAGAGCAGAGTCTGACGGATGTAAATTACAGTCAAAAGAAGTGCAATCTATAAATATCACTGGGATTTTATTTTGTTATTTTGCTAGCCAGTAAATAGCTGAGGGAATTTGATTTAAGAGATGACTAGGGTGAAAAGGATTGAATTGAAGTACAATTTAAGCAAGTAGACTCAATGCCTCCATCCTCCACAAGGTCACACTGGCCATTCTGTTGGTAAGATTTCTAAAAAACCAACTAGTTATGATTGCTCCATAAATGAAGATCAACAGAAAGCTGGAAATCCCTATTGTAGGATATAGATTGTCATAAAGTTAAGACAATGCATTGACTAACCACTGTAAGAAACCACAAAGACAAATATCTCCACAGAAATACGAAATCTTGAAATAACAAACAATAAGTACTGTTTAGATGCTTATAATGACTAGAGAAACTAAAAACGGGGAGAAATATGATATTTGGATACCAGGAAAAACTTAGAGTTACAAAGCTTTTTAGTTAACCTTAAATAGTAACTAGAGTAAAACCACGCCAATCTAAATGCCAAGGACTCCAATTGGCCCCAGACTAGTAACGAGATTCTGTCATTTTGCAATAAACCCCGAAAGGCATTACCATTTCATATCGAACAGAAGAAAGAAATAATAGTTCAAACATTCAAACTAGCAAAAGTGAAAATTCTATAGCTAGTGGACTTTGAATTCAAACCAAAAGATAGAAACATTGCCAAGTGGAAGTCAGAGAATGACTAAAAATCACTCCACAGAACCAACAAGTCTCCAGTATGATCCGATAAAAAAATCTTTAAAATCGGACTTCATAGAACACAGAACGTTCTTAAGAAAGAGCACCATATTTCCTTTAGTAAATTCAATAAACTTCGCAATTAAGCTTCCAAATCTGCTTTCATTAAACGTAGTTCAGCAATCAAAAGAAACAGAAACAACTATAGAAAAATCGAAACAAAAAAAGAAAAAGAAAATATAATACGAAGAACCAAAGATTACGAGCCCAAACCTCTGAGTTGAAGAAGAAGAAACAGAGAGACAGAGAGGGCAAGTAACGATCCTTGGCAATTCCGCGTGTCGTGTCTCCGTTCTAGAGGCTTCTGTGTTTTGTCTCAATCCATTTTGTTGGCCACTGAGACAGACTGTGTGTGTTGAGTTTGAGTATATGCAAATGAGTAAACAAAATAGCCCAGTGGAATCCGGGGCTTCGTATTTATAGGGCTGCCGAGGCTGTGGCTTACTAAATTACTATGGTTAGTTTTAACCCGCCCACAATTAAGATCGTTATGCCTCTAAACTCCACAGTCCTGACTTTTGATAATTAAAATTAGAGAACGTAATTTAATCATAATTACACCTTTAACATACGTACGTGAGACTACGTGGTGTTTCGCCACTGGAGGGAACCCCGTCATCGTCAAGCGTAATAATCTGGGATTGGGGAGACGACTGACGAGTCGATGAGTGATGACTACCTACCGTCTGAGAAGTTTCTTAGAACGAATCGCCATCTTATCGTCAATACTCACTACAACGCCTAGCAATTGCAAGATAAGCATTTTGGCTCGGGTGTGTTTGGATGATACAAGCAGGCGTGTGATTTTGTTCTTTTTCCATTTTTCTGGTGAACTAATAGAAAATGGGAATGTTGGTCGCATTGGAAAACAGAATGTCTCGTTATTATTTATTGGGAGACAAAAATAAAGAATGTTTTTAATTTTTGTTGAGAGAGAGAGAGAGAGAATGTGACTTGGGCAGTTGTGCCTGAGCGGGTGAGGTCATATATGATACACCTTAGACAAGGTTGACAGGTTAAATCGCTCATCAATTGACTAGGTAGAACTGAGGCTGTGTTTGATTTGAAAGAAAAAGTAGGAAACGGAAGGAAAAGATGGGGAAACTTTCTTTCAAACCAAAACACAGCCTAAGGGTGCAGTTTGGATTGATCATCTATCCAACCTAGGCTTAACACAAAACTTAGACCTTGGGCCGAGTACATAAACTCTCCCTATCCCTATCCCACTCCACTCAGCCCAACAAAAAAGAAAAATACCACAAACTAAGAGAATCTTGGAACAAGTAACTATAGGCAAAGAAACTATAAAGTCATCACGAAGGACGGTTATGGCTATGCCTTGAATCCGTTGTTGCGACTCATTTCATGAAAAAACTTATAGTGGTTAGTGGTGGGCTATAGGCTTGGGTTGCGGTTTACATTCAAATACAGAGAGTTATATATTTATTTTGGGGGTTTCTTCTCTTGTATACCACCTATCTTTTTCTTGAGAGAGAAATCGAACAACTTTGGATGTATTTAGGGTTTAGGTTTTCTGTGAATTAGATTGTTAGTGCACAACTTTGTATTCTTCTACATTATTAATTTCATCAAAGCAGATTTCCACTCCTCCTTTGCCCGTGGACGTAGGCTATAAACCAAGCCACATAATATAATCCCTCCACCGCCCCTGGATCCGGGTTTCCTTTGCACAGTACATCAATATCCAATTTAACAAGCCCTTGTCATTTGTCCATTGTTATCTTTTAATGGCATCTCTCAAAAGAGTCACCACCTTTTCTCACTTGGAATAATGGGTCTATTTATACCCATACTCCACTTAGTCTTTGCATACATTCATAATCACATAACACATTTATCATTCATAGTTGAGTTTAAGATTGTTGAAATTTATGAGCAGAATGTTGGTTTTCTTGTACTGCACCTGACTTGATCTAGAGGCGAAAAAGTTTTGTTTCAAGCATGCCTTAGTTGATAAGTTCTCTAACTTGTGCATTTATTGTTCTGTCACATTCATAATAGCATCCTATTGCACGCATCACATTAATTCCTATAACACCTGCACTTCGAAACAACATTAATTCACTTCTTCCTGACAAGATCATCAATTAGAATAATAACCTTAAAACATAGAGTGCTACATGAAAATTGAGATTTTCGTCAGAAGACCAGCTTCCAAACAAATTTTGACTAGCTAACCTCATCCTGAATCTCTAACTCTAACCATGTTCCAAGCTGAGGTTGTAGTAAAATTTTCATTTTTGTTGCTTGATACTGATCTGATAGACTGATGCAGATTGAAACCCACTAATTTTCATCTTTTATAGTAAGCAGCGGGAGATAACTGAAACGAAGCCTATTCAATCAAGGCTTTACCATTAGTTTGGGCTGCAGCCACTCACCGTCGATCCTGATTGCTCGATACCAGTAATGGAGGATGTGAGAGCTGGGGTTTGCTCCGGTAGATTTGGAAATTTGGAATTAGTGTTAGATTTACAAAATAAAAAATAATAATAATAATAATAATAATAATAATAATATTGTATATTGTTGGGCCGGGCTTGAGTCAGGCTTTCATGTAAAATCCCGAGCCCAACTCGAAATTAAATTGAGTTTAGAACATTGGGCCCGAGCCCAGGCTTGCAAACCTATGCCATGTCTGGTTTAATTCTTACTCTTATCCAAGATGAAATTCTAAAATGGAAAAGAATGGGTAAAAATAGGCTGAATGAGAAAATATTATTATGAACCAAACACTTTCTTTTTTTTAAAAAATGAATTCTTTTCGAACTGACAAGTGTCATATGTTGCTCATTTTCATTCTTCAAAAAAAAATTGTGATGGTATTCACAAACGACTAGCCTAGGCATAAATGTTTTGTAAAAGTACTTTCATAAAGTGCTTTTATAAAAGTATTTTCCTAAAAATGCTTTTATAAAAGTACTTTAAAAGCGCTTTTGTACTTTTGTAAAAGTGCTTTAATAAAAGTGCTTTCATAAAAGTACTTCCATAAAATTACTTTCGTAAAAGTGCTTTTGTAAAAGTACTTCCATAAAAGTGCTATATAAAAGTATTTCCGTAAAAGTTCTTTYGTAAAAGTACTTCCATAAAAGTGCTTTCGCAAAAGTGCTTTTATAAAAGTACATTTGTAAAAATGCTTTTGTAAAAGTTCTTTTATAAAAATTTCTTTCATATAAAAATACTTTTATAACTTTTATAAAAGTGTTTTCGTAAAAGTAAACATCTATGGAAGTAGTTTTATAGGTAAAGTTTCCTCAAAGAATGAAATGAGCAAGATGGGGCATGATTATTTTTTTATGCTATGGGGTTGATTTTTCATTCTAAAAAAGAATGTAACCATTGACAATAATTTTGTAACCTAACACTATATGCTATTCATTCTTGTCCATTCTTACCTAGAATGAGTAAGAATTAAGAGAATGAAACCCACAGCAGTGAACCAAACATGACTCTAATAATATGTCAAAGCCCGTCCAAGGTTGGGCCGGGTTGTTCAGCTATCCGGCCCATAAACAGGAGGCCTGATCTGCTCCTCACATAGGGCACCTCACATGCACATCCTACAATGCATTGAGAACATCTTTCGTACTTATAAACTATTATTCATGGAAGATGTTCCCAATACACGGTGGATGTGGATGCGAGGCGCCCAAGTGTGAGGTGGATGTTCCCAATACAGGTCTACTAACGCGTGGGGCTGAATCGGGTAACCGTAGATACTCGAATCGTATTTCGTAATGCTGATGCTGGGGTACTGTTATATCGCCGATATCAATAATTCTCAAACGTTTGACTACTTTTTCAAATTCAAGGTCTTCCGAAGATTGCTTGGGAAAGAGGGAAATGAAATCCACCGTTCATGTGTTAAATCGAGACACATGACACGTGGCAATAATATTTTTTCTACCCATATTCTGGAATCTTCTATTCATATGGAGCTACTTTAGGCTATGTTTCGTTTGTTGGAAAAGGTAAGGAAAGGAAGGGCAAGGCAGGGACCTTTCCCTTCCTTTTTTTATATTTTCCTTTAAACCAAACATAACCTTAAAGAACCTATTTTCATGTGCTTATTTAGGTTCTGTTAATTTGTTTTAAAAAACATTATTTAGAGATGGTTGTGTTATTTTCTGAAACAAAACCAACTTAATTCTAATTAAAAAACAGAGCTCGACAAAGTATATTTACTTTATTTTTTTGATGTGGTAAATTAAAATACAAATGAAAGTAAAAGCATTTATGTTGCGACAAGAAAACAAAAGGGAAAATTCCTGATGATAAGAAGGTATAATACCATAAGAGCATTGACCAAGCAAAACCCTCAATGAATTCTGATAAAAACCACCCCTGAAGTTTAATAATTACAAATGTAATCACTTTTATTGAACTTTTTCACACAAGTTGCAAGTAGACCCCTTTTGGTAAAATCTTCTAAAATAGGTATGAAAATGTCTAAAATACTCATATAATTCCTATTGAGGCTAGTTTCTAAGGAATAAAAAAAATACAACTTTATGAACAACAAAAACAAAGGGAATTTAAAGTTGTAGATTTACCTTTGAGTGATTGATAAAGGGCAAATTTGAAAAATAAATCAATTTCAGAAAAAAAATATTTGAAGGGTTTGAGGTAATTATTCAAATGAAGAGAAAACTTGAAAAATAAACATTTTTGTTAAAGGCAATTACATGGGTATTTTGGATGTTTTTATGACTTTTTAGAATATTCTACCAAAGGGGGTCTACTTGCAATTATATGAAAAGGTTTAGGAGAGGTGATTGCAACTATCAAACTTCAAGGGTGGTATCAGCAATAGTCAAAAATTTCAGGTGAGGTTTCAGCAATTTACCCAAAAATAATAATTCATGTTGTGGTCTTGTAAAGTACCCTGTTTCCTCGACTTCTTGTTTCTCTCTCTTCTTGAATTAAACCAAAACCTAGTAGACAAGCTGTGGAGTTAGAGGCTAGAAAAGTTATAATCTCATTATTCTATCATCCAAAATGTGTAAGGATCGCCACCTCCTTCAATGATCCAAAACCGAAACTGTTTTGGCCACCAGTTTTCAAGTCAATGGTTCAACCGTTTAATTCAAATGAATGGTTCATTCCAATTAAAAAATTAAAAATAATTAAAATAAAAGGACAAAACCGTTGTCCAACTGCCCAAATCAGCGAATCGCTGGTCAATCCAACAATTTTTTGCCAAGATACAGGTTATGGTGGAACCAGTTGTCTGAACGTTTTTCAGTTTGAACAATTCAACCGTCCAAATTAACGATAGTTCAAAAACCATGATTTTCAGTATTTGCATAGAGAGAACAATTGCTTCCCATTCTCTCAAAGGGAGAGTACTAAAAACCAACTA